TGTCATTCAGTCTGGGAAAAGGAGCGCCTTCTACAATTGGTCCTGCTGTTTAATGATGCATACATTGTGAGCACCCGCTTTTAAGAAATCTGGTAATAGGGGCGCCTGGCTGGCTCAGTCCTTAAGCGTCTGCCTTCGGCTCCGGTCGTGATCCCGGGGTCCTGGGATTGAGCCCCACATCGGGCTCCCTGCTCAGCGGGAAGCCTGCTTCTCCCTCTCCCACTCCCCCTGCTTGTGTTCCCTCTCTTGCTGTCTATCTCCGTCAAATAAATAAATAAAAATCTAAAAAAAAAATTTGGTAGTAAGAATACGACCGTGCCCTGCTCCAGCGGGACCCAGTTACTTTGTCCATCGACAGCACAGAGTTTGGTGGCTCTGCCCAGCAGCTGGTGCTTCTATCAGAAAAGCAACTTTGGAGATTTCTCTCAGTGACATGAGAAGTAGCCCTGCAGAGGATCAAACAAGGGGAGGATGGGGACATCGATTTAGTCAATTCTGAGTTGCAGGGATTTGAACCGATGGTCGGAGGCCAAGTCGTCTTTTTTGCATAGTAACTGTAGGTTTAGGAGCAGTAACGAAGGGTAGTGTGTCGGGGCAGAGGCCCCCCGCCATAGCTAACTGGGGCTGCTGTCTGCGGGTCTCTTCCTCTTGAATCAGTGGGCAGTCGAGGCAACCTGCGGATGACTGCTCACCCGGGTGCCCAGGCAGAGGTGTCTTGAGAGGACAAAAGCAAGTGAGAAGGCTGTCACAGAGCCACGAGCCACAGTAGCTGCTCGAACACAGACTTGCTGCCTGGCGCTGGAAGGGGGGCGGGGCAGAGGCAACACTTTCCTTCCTCTTGCTTCTGACTTGCAAATTTTGAAGTCAGGAACATTCCAGGGGGCAGGGAGGGGTGGGATAGTTTTGAACTCTACCACCCTTGAGGAGAACAGGAGAGGAGTTTCCAGGTCATTTATAGCACTTCCTTGACGCTGAGGAAAGGGAAGGAAAGGATTTTTTTTTTAAAGATTTTATTTATTCATTTCAGACACAGAGATACAGAGAGAGAGAGAGAGAAAGCATGAGGAGGAGGGGGAGAGGCAGAGGGAGAGGGAGAAGCAGGCTCCCTGCTGAGCCAGGAGCCCAACGTGTGGCTCAATCCCAGCATCCTGGGATCATGACCTGAGCCGAAGGCAGACACTTAACCATCTGGGCCACCCAGGCGCCCCAGAAGGAAAGGATTTTCATGAATACCCTAAACTAAAAATGGGGGGGGAAGATTATAAAGGTTAGGATACTTCTTTCCTTCCTTGTTTTTCACATGAGCAGCCGCTGAGAACTCAACTGGCTTCCAGTGTCTTCTGTAATTTGAGGACAGGAGTGAAAGGGATAAATGAATGTCACATAATCCCCGAAGCTCATTCTCATCCAGTAGCTTCAGCCTTGTCCCTCTCCCAGTCTTGTCTCCCAGCTCCTGGGGAGGAGAAAAATGAGCTGTGGGAAGCCTGGGTGACTCTGCAAGTGGGGTTTGTCCTCTGATGGAGGCCAAGGATCAGAGGGAAGCTCAGGGCCCTGCCACTGTGCGGGGCTTTTCCACACAGGGGGGGGATGACTCCTACAGGGATACCTGGGCAGGACGATCCAATCCAGTGGGGTTCCTTTATGGAAGGGCTCGCTGAGGCTCCAGGAGACAGAGCCTTTGTAGGCAAGGCAGAACTTTCCCTCCAGCCTCTGAGGGTCAGGCTGGGCCTGAGAATTCAGTTGACAGAAGACAGATTAGCGGGAGAGACGCTTACAGAGTTTATTATTTACATATTCATGGGAGCCTTCACGGGAAAATGAAGCCCCCCAAAGTGGTTGGGCCCAAGTGTTTATATACCAGATTGGACTAAGAGCACTAATTGTGAAAAAGTACCAAAAATATATGGGGAAGCTAACAGGAGATAAGGGTAACTTGCAAACCCTTGTTAGCACTGATTCTGTTGGTACCTTCTCCGTCTCTGGTGATAAGGATGTTTCTTCCCACCGGTACAGAGGGCAGCTCTCACATGGGAGTCGCATCTCCTGCTTTGAGGAAGAAAAAGGGAGGTCAGAAGGTCTTTCTTGCATCTGCTGTTTCCAAGTGCCTTTCTTTCTTTCTTTCTTTCTTTCTTTCTTTCTTTCTTTCTTTCTTTCTTTCTTTCTTTCTTTTCTTTCTTTCTTTTCTTTCTTTTCTTTCTTTCTTTCTTTCTTTCTTTCTTTCTTTCTTTCTTTCTTTCTTTCTTTTTCTTTCTTTCTTTCTTCTTTCTTTCTTCTTTCTTTCTTTCTTTCTTTCTTTCTTTCTTTCTTTTTTTTTCTTTCTCTCTCTCTCTCTCTCTCCCTCCCTCCTTCCTTCCTTTCTTTCTTTCACCTCTACACCCAACATGGGGCTCAAACTCACAACCTTGAGATCAAGAGTCACATGATTTACCGACTGAGCCAGGTGCCTCTCAAGTGCCTTTAACTGGAAATAATCTTATGTCAAACTGGCATTTGGGGCATATTCTGCTACCCTTCACCATCCAGCTAGTTACTAGCAAAACCAGAACTAGAAGCTGGTCCTCTTCACTTCCAGTCTGTGGCTATTTGACTATATCTCAGTTACCATCTTGTGTCTGAGACAGTTATCATCTTGTGTCTGAGATGTGCTACTCACCCTTACCTGATGTCTTGTGGGGACCTACGATGCACCAGGCCTGTTCTCGGGGCCTCCAGATTTATCTGAGCACATAAGCTTTACTGTTCCTACCTTGTGGGTGAAGACATGGAGGTGCAGAGAGGATCAGTAGGTTAATAAATGGCACTTTCACATGGTTCAGCCTAAAAACATGCGCTAGGTAACACAGCAAGTTAGATCACGAGTTCAAATTCAACATCTTGCCATTTGTGACAATATGGATGGACCTAGAAGGTATTATGCTAAGTCAAGTAAGTCAGAAAGAGAACGACAAATACCATATGATCTCTCTTATATGTACAATCTTAAAAAAAACAAAAATGAACTCATAGATACAGAGAACAGATTGGTGGGCTGTTGGGGTGGGCAAAATGGTGAAGCTGGTCAAAAGATACAGACTTCCAGTTATAAAATAAATGTCATAGGGATGTAATGTAAGCATGGTGACTATAGTTAATAATACTGTATTTCATATTTGAAAGTCGCTAAGAGAATATATCTTAAAAGCTCTCATTATAAGAAAAAAAATTTTCTCACTGCATGTGGTGACAGATGTTAACAAGACTTGTGGTGATCATTTTGCAGTAGATACAGACTGAGCCAGCCAGGTGCCCTTTTTCTGCAATATATGTAAATATCAAATCATTATGTTGTATACCTGAAACTAATATACTGTATGTCAATTATACCTCAACCTAAAAAAAGGAAGAGAATTCAAACTCAGGTCTTGAACTTGAGTCCAGTGCTATTTCTACTACTCCACTAGGCCAGAGGTTTTTGGAGTACTTCCTTTCATTAAATTGTTTTCCATTGATTATGTTTATTTTTATTGTTTCATTATATTTTGGGAATGAATGAAACAGATGCATTTTTTTTTTTAACCAAGAGCATTCCTTTCAGCCTCACTCTGTGTTCTCCCACTCAGACCCAATTATTTCCCCTCAATTTTGACCTCCCAGATCCAGATCCCAGAAAGGAGGGGCAAGAACTTGAGAGGTGTTTCAAACCTGAAGTCAGCCATGTCCCTATTTCTGTTGCTGTTGGTGGCTATTAGGGCTCGATGGGACCTTAGCCAGAGTCTGGTTTTATCCTCTCTCTTTGCAGATGAGAAAACTAGATCCAGAAAGACTGGTTTTCTCAAGGCCACACAGCTGGCCAGCTCCATAACACGCATGGGAGATGCTCTGTTGGAACCACTTCCCCTTTGCTCCCCTCACCTGGATGCATGGGTGGTTGTGTCTGAAGTAGCCTTGTAGGACACGGGAGATTAAGGAGAGGGCATCACCTTACTTTAAACTGATCCTCTCAAAAAAAAAAAAAAAGTACCAACCTCTCTAGGGCCACTTTGGATAGTCTTGGGAGATACGTCCCAGGGTTACTTTCTTCCCTTAGATGCTGCTGAGACCTGCAGGTAATGTTAACATGGAAGACTCTAGAGTGATCTAACTTCCATCCACTCCTTCAACAAAATCATCCCGATCCTCATTCATGGCCACTGCTGCAGATAAATACGTGACTCTCAGGTTCAAAGGAGTGAGGTTCTGGATTTATTTGGACTAGATGGGGAATATCCTCATTTTGTGAGAAGACTTCAAATAGTTTTCCAAATGTAGCCTTTCCTATTAATGGGCAAGCAATAAGATTGGTACATTTAAGGGTCAAAGATTCACGGAAATATTCCCAATCGAAGATATTCCCAATCATTTTTGGTCATGTTGATACAAACTCAACTTGGAATACAGTTACACCCTACCAATTCTCCATCAAGTTCTCAGCAATGTGCGGCCGCAGTATGAAGCAGCTGGTAGATGCCTGTCATGCCCTGTCATGCCCAAAGGGTCCAATGGCTGGAATCCCACTCAATGGCAGGCAGGCCAAGAAGTCTGTATCTGACAGCAAAGGCACAGGCGTTTCGGGGCAAAAGAAGGGCAGAGTGAAGAGTTGGGAGGCAGGACTGGAGGGAAGGCTGAGCCCGTCTCCTGTGCCTCTGGTCACTCCTAGTGGGGCCCGCTGGGGCTCGGGGAAGGAAGGTGTCCTTCATGCTCTTTTGGGTGACAGGTAGGAGTAGAGGTGCCCATTCGTCATCTGGAAGCAGCCCAAGTGGCCATACTGGTGAGTGAGAAGTGGAGAATGACACCACTGGGGTTCTGCATTCCAAATAAAACTAGCCAATTTTCTCTCTGGCCTAGGCCTAATGGGATACAGGAGGCCTGGTCTTAGGGGCGTCAATAGTCCAGCGCTCAAATCAAATGGCCACACAGATGGTCGTCATGGAGCATCAAGTACCCTTGAGAGAACATCCTCTGAACAATATTTAAGTACCTGGTCAAGAACACCAACGAATTCATAATCATTTATTGTAAATCACTCATAGTTCATACATTATTAATGGCAAAATAACACTGTTAAACACCTGCTGGATGAAGAACTTCATTATGACAATTTCCTACTGGTATCATTTTTTTTTCAGAAATTTTTAAGTTCCTACATCTTTCCTGAAAAGATCTATCTTCGAAGTGCTCCAACATCTTTCTTTTGCTCTAACAACTAAAACAAAGGGCACGCTGTCCCATTAATTCAACATGCTCTTTGCAAGGCAACTTAACACATGAAAATTTTTTTAATCCAGAAGCTGCATAATTTATATTTTGCTGCAAAATCAATGAAGGCCGCATGCAGGGGAAACATTAGTAGACATTGAGCTCTAGATAACTGTCGGTTATTAAGATCTGATGGCCTGGTGTGGAAAATTAATATGCTTATTTAGCAGGAGTAGCTAAAGTACATGCATCAGTGGCTAGGATCAATTAGAATATAAATTAGGTGTCTAAACATTTAAATGAGAGCTTAATTTGAGCTTAATTTTATGTCTAGCACATCTGAGTTATACACCTTTAAAATGACAATAGCGAAGAGAACAAAATCAAACACCTAAATAGACACTGATTTATAGGGTCGGCTGGGCGTAATTGGGACACAAAACGAGCTGAGCAGTGGACAGATCTCTTCTGAAGCAAAGACAGTGGAGCATTAATAAGCTATAAACAGGGCCAAAAAAATAAGAGAGCCATTTCCTGTATTGCCATTTTTTTTAAAGTGTTCAATTCTCTCATTTAAAAAACAACAACAGCAACACACACACAAGCACATTCACGCAGTAATTACAAAACAGAAACATTCTTTAGTTACTTAGACCCTCTCTTTTGTCTTCTACCCTGCCTCTCTGCTCCTTCAGATAAGGGGTTTAAAAACAGTGCTGGGTTAACTGGTAGAAAAGAAAACCAGTGCTCTCCTGAATCGCACCGAGAGAGTATTAAGCTCCTTCATCCTGTCAGGGTCAACATCATGTACAAGCACACGACCCTGTGTGTTTGATGTATTGTAGCTACAGCGACTAAATCACGTGCTTACACTCTAATGTTAAATCATAGTTACGCTGACGTTAAAAATTTTTTTTCATTGACAGTTGACAATATTTTGAGACAAACAGGAAGTTCCCAAACCACAGAGATTCTGTTCCCTCCCTACCCTCTACCCCCTCCCACATCCAATGAGCAAAAGAGCTATAGTAACAAGAGCCATGAACTAAGGTGTCAATGGCAGACATGTTGGAGGGTGGTTCCATGTTTAAGTGCTGCCATCTCCAGTCTTGGCTTTCCGGGCCTCGATCATCGGCTTGGTTGCCCGTTTGCGGTCAGTGGCCAGCCCCAGCCAGCACATGAGGTCAATGAACCAAGTGGTTGGGTTGAAATTTAAGCCAAATTCACTTGCAGAGTAGTCAAAGGGAAAGGTGTGGTGGTAATTGTGGAAGCCTTCACCTGGAAGACAAAGTGGGCATTGAAATAACCCATCTCCACCTCTCTGCACAGATTTATTCACCCCCCCATTTATTGAGGGTCTACCATGTGCAAGACATTATGTCAGGCTCTAAGGGGAGCAGAAGACTTGGTGTCTGTCCTTAGGCAGCATTGGCTAGACTAAATAGGAACAGAACAATAACAAGAAAGTTAATCAGCATAGAGTCATGAGATTAATTTCCCCGTATGAACTGTAGATATGCTACCCTGATTTCCAAGCCTTACTTCGTAGACAAAATGCTAAGTGGCTGATAACAGATCCTCATTTTGATGTTTGTTCGTAAGAGGAAACTAGCCTCTGTGGGCTGGAGGGATTAAAGGAGGGCTCGTTGGGAGAGCCTGGAAAACCAGATGAGTACCGTTCAGATAGGTAAGCAAATGGAGAAGCTGGACCGTTACATGTCCCAGATGGGCTTATATATTATTCTCTCCCTCCCGGTGAATAGCTTTTCCTCCCTTACTTTTTTTTTTAATTAAAGTGTTTTGAGCAGGGATCTCAGGGCTTCTTTCCTCTGACTCTTTTAAGCAGCTTTATTGAGATATAATTCACCACATAATTCATCCATTTGAAGTACAATTTAATGGCTTTTAGTATTTTCACAGAGCTGTGCATCCATCACCCCAATGAATTTTGTAACATTTTCATTACCTAAAGGGAAGCGCCACACTCCTGAGCTGTCATCCCCCAACCATCCCTCCATGCCTCCAGCCCTACTTTCTTTCTCTGTCATGGTTAATTTTACGTGTCAACCTCACTGGCCAAGGTTTGCCCAGATTAAACATTTCTGTGAGGCGTGTCTGTGCGGGTGTCTCTGGATGAGATGAGCATTTGAGTCAGTGGACTCAGTAAAGCAGATTACGTTCCCCCGTGGGGGCGGCCATCACTCAATCTGTTAAGAGCCTGAACAGAACAAATGGTGGAGGAACGGGAATTTGCCCCTTTTTTTTCTGACTCACTGACTGAACTGGAACATCTCTCTCATCTTCTCCTGCCCTCAGACTAGGATTTACATCATCTGTTCCCCTGGCTCTCAGGCCTTTGGACTCAGATTTAATTATACTACTGGATTTCCTGGGTCTCCAGCTTGCAGAGAGCAGATTGTGGGATTTCTCAGCTCCCATAATCCTGTGAGCCAGCTCCTCATAACAAATCTCTCCCCCCACCGATCCCTCCGCTCCCCCCTCTCTATACATAAAAAGTGTGTATCTACGGATATATACATATATACACACACAGAAATAGTAGGGTATCTATTTAGATTCTACAAATATATATATCTATTTATATTTGTATAGATATCCTACTGTTTCTGTATATATATATGGGGATTTATTATGAGGAAAAATATATATATATTACAGTATATACAAAAACTGTATAGTATATGTATATAATAGTATTACATATGTATAGATAGATATATCTGTATATATATGTGTAGTATATGTGTGTGTATACATATATATGTATACTAGTATGTATATATATATATATAATGATTCTGTTTCTTTAGAGAACCCTAATACAATCTCTATAGACTTGTCTATTCTGAACATTTCATATAAATAAAATCATACAATACGTGATTTTATAATTGGCTTCTTTCACTTAGCATAATGTTTTCAAGGTTATAGCAGGTATCAGTACTTTATTTCTTCTTACTGCCAAATAGCATTCCATTGTATGGATGTACCCATTTGTATTTATCCATTCATCAATTGATGGACATTTGGATGATTTCCCCTTTTTGGCTATTATGAATAACGTTGCTATGAATATTCATATACAAGTTTTTGTGTGGATGTATATTTTTATTTCTCTTCTGTGTAAATCTGAGAGTGGAGTTGCTGGATCATATGGTAACTATTTTTAACCATTTGAGGAACTGCCAGATTCCTCCTTTACTTCTTTTTTTTTTTTTTTTTAAGATTCTTATATTTATTTGGAGAGAAAGAGAGAGCACAGGAGGGGAGGGAGAGAGGAAGAGGGAGAGAGAGTCTTAAGCAGACTCCCCTCTGAGCTCAGAGCAGGACACCAGGCTGGATCCCACGACCCTGAGATCATGACCTGAGCCAAAGCCAAGAGTTGGATGTCTGCCCGACTGAGCCACCTACGCGCCCCGCCTCCTTCACTTCTTAAGTGGGCTGGTCATCATATAGCTCTTCTGTTGACCACAATTGAAGGATTCTGCTCTGCAAAGAGTACATCAGATGGATGGATCTGTGGTTTACCGTTTTCTTTTTAATTCAGGTCTTCTTTACCCTGCCCCTTCCAGCCTCATCATCATTTTTAGTGTTTTTCCTTCACTTGAGTATATATAGAGGTGTTTCCCCCACTATTTTCAGAAGCAGACACTGCTCCGAGAACCCTGGATATACTCCCCATCTACCACACAGTCGGATGTAACAGGTGCCTTCCTAGGACCTTAATGAAGAAAACGGACTAGGAGTCCACTGTTGACCTGGGTGGATTGAAGACCAATACCCAGCTCTTCAGGGCCTGTGCCATGCCCGTATTCCCTAGGTTTTCTGGCCCATTGTCCCTACATAAGATGTAAGTCCATCTTGTCCCCTCTTCATCTTCTGAAAAGACTGCAGTGCGGGAGCCACGTCCAGGGTTGATTCTGAGAGCTGGGGGACAGGAGGGGGCAAGTGGGTGGCTCCGTCGGTTAAGTGTCCAACTCTTGATTTCGGCTCAGGTCATGATCTCGGGGTCATGGGATCGAGCCCCATGTCGGGCTCTGCACTTAGCAGGGATTCTGCTGGAGATTCTCTCCCTCCCTCTCCCTCCGCTCCTCCCCCAGCTCACTCTCTTTCTCTTCCTCTCTCTCTCTCTGTCTCTCTCAAAATAAATAGAAAAAAAAAAAAAAGGAAGATGAAGGGTGAGGAGGAGGAAGTAGTAGGGGCATCAGAAACTTTCCAAAACACTTTCCTCTCTGCCTAGCCAGTGTTCCCATAGCTAAATTTGATGTGTTTTCTACCTTAGCTTGCTCTTGTCAACATAAGATCCCTGCGGTCTTAATAAGTGCATGACCCTGACACTGTGGTGGCAGAAACTCCTTGCTAGGGGATGCAGAGACCGTTACTACTTAACAGTAGGATCTTCCCTTCCTGGTTCAATCTCCATGCTCAAGGCCCAGGTTACCAAGAAGCCCGAGTTGCCTCCATATACAGCTAATGTTTATTTATTTCTGTGTGCCAGCCACAGTGGTGAGGGCCTTAATGGGTGTTAACACCTATAATCCCCACATCTCTGAGCTAGTTGCTATGATCATCCCCATTTTAAAAAAGGGGATGTAAATGTACAGAAGGGACAAGTAACTTGCTTAAGACCATAAAGCTGGTAATAAAAACATTACTGAGGCTTATTTCGTGCTAAGCACTATTGCAAAGACTATGCATTAACTCATCGAACCCTCCCATGACCGCAGGAGCAGGTAAATGCTACTGTTATCCTCACTTGACGGAGGAAGACACAAGGTGTGGAGGAGTCAGATAACTTGCCCGGAGAGTAAGTGGAGGAACCAAGACTCAACCAAACTCGTCAGAATCCAAAGGCCTCGTTCTTAACCATCTTGTGGCACCATGAGATGCCACACTCTTGTTTCTTCCCATCTCTCTGTTTGAAGGCCTTTTTTCCTTACAGTCAGTCATATGATTGGACAGCGGAGGCTAGAATGGTTAGGGCAGTTTAAAAGAAAAGTCAGCTGCTACGCCTCTCAGGAACATTTCCAGGGTAAAAATAAATAGCTTAATTATTGAGCACTTACTATATGACAGACATTGTCCTAAGCCGTGTACATATAGTAGCTTACTTAATCTTCATAACATCCCTATGAAATAGGCATCACGATTCCCATTTCACAGATGAGAAAACTCTAAATCAGGGAGATTAGGTGACTTGTCCAAGACCCAGGATTCTAACACCAAAGCCCAAGTTCATCCCATCTGACTCCAATCCACTGCCTCTTCTCACAGATTCCAGACAACCGTTGGAAAGCCAAGACAACCTGAGCTGTTGTATTTCCCATTGGCTCTCACCCCCCCTACTCACCAATGGCACCCAGAGTGACGAGTGGGTTCTGCCGAGGGCTGATGTGCTTGTTGTAGGGCCGGTTTCCATACATGTGGGCAGCACTGTTGACCAGCCAGGTGATGTTGAGGGAGATGGTATAGCGGAGGATGGAAGCCAAGAAGTAGGAATTCCACAGACTCTCTCCCCAGAAGCACCAGGGCACCAGCGTGGGAATCACGAAGCACATGAGCACCACGGTGATCTTATAGTACCTGGAAGGCAGAATATTACACTAGCATCGGGCCCCTGTTGATGGTGGCAGGGAGAGGCTGAGCAAGCTACAGGAAAAGTCAGGAAATGTACCAGTCGGCTCCTTCTGCTCTTTCTGTAGAGGGAACACCCTGTTGTGTGTCACCCTGTACAGGGGTCTCAAACCCATATCCTTACAAGAGCTAGGCAGGTAATCCAAAGTGGAGTTAGGATGTGTAGAATGCTCTGGGAAGTGGTAGGGCCTGTAGCAAGCATACTTCAGAGAAATTTCTTCTTTTGTTTTTAAAGATTTTATTTATTTATTTGAGAGAGAGAATGAGAAAGAGAGAGCACGAGAGGGGGGAGGGTCAGAGGGAGAAGCAGACTCCCCGCTGAGCAGCGAGCCCGATGCGGGACTCGATCCCAGGACCCTGGGATCATGACCTGGGCCGAAGGCAGTCGCTTAACCAACTGAGCCACCCAGGCGCCCCAGAGAAATTTCAATAGCAAACAATGTAGTGCTGGTGAAACCCATGTATCTCCAGCTACATTTCTCCTACAGGTCACCAGTTTGACAGCAGGATCTTCCTTTCCTGGTTCAATCTCCATGCTCAAGGGGTAGCTCTTAGCTACTTCCTTCACCTGTCAGTCAACTGGATAATCAGGTTTTCTCCAATGATTTCAAGAAACATGTATTTCTTGAATAATGTCCAGACACATGATTCCATACTAACTTAGCTTGGTACAAAGGTAAACGATCCAATCCCCTCAAAAAATGTTCTCTGCTCATTGGAAATTACGTTCCAAGCCAGCATAAAAAAGTAAACAATAAGGCTAGGCTTGTGCCACATAAAAAGTCATCTTTACAAAGAAAACCATCAGTAGTTTGATTGCCAGACCTGTGTAGCCAGCAAATATTTACTGAGCACTTACTGTATGCCAGGCCATGAATGCTGGTGATATAAAGGCAAAGTCGACAGAGTCCCTGCCCTGGGCTTCAGTCAGGTGGAACCACTGTTTCCCGTCCCCCCACCCCCCCAACCCCCCGCATCCCCCCCACCGTCCACAGAGCATGCGGAACCAGCTCTGTGCAGGGACAGGAAAGGGGCTGTGCTATGAGTTCATAGGTCTTTCCTCTCTGGCCTCACACTGCCTAATCAAGCTTCCAGAAGACCTCTGTTAAGATGCATATGTATGAAATGGGAGGCGGCACAGTGTGAGGGAATGACATTCAAGAGGTGGAAGACTTGAACTTGAATCTAGATCTGATTCTGGATGTTGAACCAGCCGTTTTCTTTCTTTCACTCTCCTCTCGAGCACAGTTAGCTGGTTCCCCAAAGAGCAGAGCATGAGGCAAGGGCGTGTGTGGGGGTAGTCTATTCTGGGAAGAGTGAGACAGGGAAGGAGGGAATACCAAGCCAGGGGTACCCATGTTTTGGATACCTGAACTTGGACCTCGATGGGACAGATTATACCTCGGAGTTATTCTTTCAAGGAATGAAAGAAGGGGCTATTTTCCCATTGGCTCCAACTCCCTCCTGGTCAGGGGATGTCACATGGGATATCAGCTCCCTCACACTTCCAAGTCTGCTTGGGTCAGGATGGCTGAGTGCATTTCTGGGAAGCATCTCAGGTGGAGGTGGCAAAGAAACCAGGCAGGAAGTAAGAAATAGGCCGTCCAGCTGAGCAAGGTGCTCTTGGGTTACACCTGGGCCAGCAGGTGGCTGCAGCAACAGCTGGAGTGAAAAGATGGGCAGAGAGTAGGAGGTGGGGCATGAGAGGGGTCCAACACAGGTAGTGATTATAATACCTCCAGGGGTTCTTGTAAGGATCTGATAAGTAATGTATACTATGTGCATATTATGTCACAGCTATTCTGAGACCTTTATGTGTACTGGCTCATTTAATTCTAATAAAAACTCTAGGAGGAAGTGACCATTATCATCACCATTTTACAGAGCAAAGGAAAAGTTATGTAGTTGGGCCAAGGTTACAAGACTAAGATGTAGTAGGACCAAGATTCAGATCCAGACAGAATCACTTTAGAGACTATCATCCACTTAAAATGCAGCTATCTTATATCCCAGTGACTTGAAAATGGGTGCTGATGTGTTCACCTGTTGCCCAACAAAAAACAAATTTTATGGTAACTGACGCTTGTGTGCAGCTAGCAATCTGAAAAACACCCTTACATACATGATTTGCACATGAAATCATTTAAGTGGAAAGAGGGTGCTTGGGCGGCCAGATGAGTGGACTGCGGCTAGAGGGGCAAAGACAACAGACAATGAAGGGACTGGTGCTCTTACGTTGGGCTCCCTAGGGTCACATGCAGAAGGCTTTTGTAGAGTGCTTTAAAAAAAAAAAGATTTTATTTATTTATTTGGGAGACAGAGAGAGAGCATGGCGGGGGCGGGGTGCAGAGGGACAAGCAGACTCCCTGCTGAGTGGGGAACCCAATGCAGGGTTCAATCCCAGGATCCAGAGATCATGACCTGAGCTGAAGGCAGATGCTTAATGGACTGAGCCACCCAGGCGCCCCAAGAATGCTCTTGAAGGATACTTGTAAGGAAGGGAGGAAGGCAGGTTGGGCCGAGGCAGAAGCTCACCTACAATGAGTTTCGGCAGATCCAACCGGAACCTCTGGGGCCGGATGACCCTTTAGAGTTGTCCAAATTGAAAGGTCTCCCCGCATCATCCAGCCTTTGGCCTTGGGGTGCACCCTGGGAGGGGTGAACCCTGGGACAGGGCAGTTCCATGTGGGCAAGGGCAACTCCCAGAGAGGACAGCAGCTGCAGGCTGGGAGCATCAGCTGAAGAGGGGATCTGGGTGAAGCTAAGGCCCTGGGAACTGGTGGTGTGTGAAGGGAGGGGGGTGTTCTGAAGGGAAAATGGAAGAGGTGCCCAGAGCCATGGGTCTGCTACTTCTCATTTGCACCTCTGAGGAGGAAAGGAGGCAGCTCTACGTTGCCAACAGAAGGCATTTTGTGACTTAAGAAATTTCTTCCCTTCGTCCACTCTCTGCGTTACAGTCCAGTACCTTTGAAAAGAACCTGTCCTGGGGCGCCTGGGTGGCTCAGTCGGTTAAGCTTCTGCCTTCAGCTCAGGTCATGATCTCTGGGTCCTGGAATTGAGCCCGGGTTCAGGCTCTCTGCTTTCGGGCTCCCTGCTCGGCACTCATGGCTCTCTCTCTCTCTCTCAAAATAAAGAAATAAATAAAATCTTAAAAAAAAAAAAAGAAAGAAAAGAGCCTCTCCTAGTCCTGATCTGAGCCATTGTCTTGGCCCCTCATTTTGCTCCTGAAAAGAAGAAGAAGAAAGAAAACACACACACTGAGGGCTTGCTCTGTGCTGGGCACCAGGCTAAGCATCTCACAGGCCTTCTCTCACTCCTCCCAGCAGGCTTGGGATAGACAGTGAGGACCCCAGGCCTTAGAGAGGTGCCATGCTTCCCCCAGGAAGAGGCCAGGCCCTCGCTCTGGCTCTCGGCTCTGCCCCAACCCTACAGAATCCGCAGCTCACAGGACTCAGCTTCTGCTCACACCCTGCCCCTGCCTCTTCCCTCCGAACTTCTTAGGGAAGCCACCTGCGGGCCTTGGCTCCGGCTCTAAAAGCCTGCTGTGGAGGGATGGAGCTTCCCAAGTGGGAGGAGAAAAAGGATCTGGGCTTCCCCCGCAACCCACCGCCCCCAGCACAACCCCTGTCCAGCCAAATGTCCTCTTCCTCAAAAAAGACCCTCTTTAAAAACCATTCCAGGTTTAGGGGCCACAGAGGATCTGGGTGCGGCTGCCAGTGGTATGGATCTTGAGGCTGATCTCTGCATCGTTAACATTCTCCCCAGCCATCAGACGGACTCGACACCCTCCTGTGTTGCTGAGGAGCCTCCCTCCTGTGCCTATTCGCGTCCAGCAGCTTAATCACAGTCACTGGCCTTGCTTCGGAACAAGTATGGAGATGGCTCCCTGGCTTCCTTGCTTAATGACACTCAACTCTGAACCCCTAGCCGAGGGTCCACCTGCAAGTCCATGAGGCCTCCAACTCCTAGTCCTTCCTCATCTGAGGGACTTCCTTTCTTCAGCTGTGGTAGGGAGCAGGCTGCAGAAGGGCCATTGACATTGCTCTGTCTTTTCGCTAAATGGGTTTTTTATGTTGTAAAGCGTCATAGAACAGTAAACTACCCAACTCTGCTACTTCCTAGCTGTGTTATCTTGAGTAGATGGTTTAATTGCACTGAGCCCCAGGTTTCTCTTCTGTAAAATGTGGTATTAAAAATTTATTGAGTCCCTACTATGTATGTATCAGTACTATCTTGGTACTGGAGATATAAAGTGAAAAAATCAGACAAAAATCCCTGCTCTTGGAGAGTAGGGGTATTCTGGTAGGAAGATTTGATAAACATATATATTATGTATATACTATACAAAAATTTACATATATGTATATTCTGGTAGGAAAGAAAGCTAATAAGAAATATATAGAGCATGTTAGTGGTAAATACTAAGATAAGAGTAAAGCAGAGAAGGAGAATATGAAGTCAAGGGCAGGTGCTGCAATTTAAAATAGAGTGTCTAGGGAAGGACTTAGTGACATTACAGCTTTTGAGTAAAGATGTGAAAGCAGTGAGAAGTTAGCCATGTGGCTAAATGGGGCAGAAGATTCCAGGCAGAGAAAACCACAAGCACAGAGGCCCTGAATGTTCCTGGCACATTCAGGGATGAGCAGGAGAGGTGGGGCTGAAGCGGGTGAATAAAGGGGAGAAGGTAGGAGGTAAGAGAAAAATGGTGGGCCGAGTCACAGGATGTCTTGCAGGTCATCATAACGGCTTCAACCTTTACTCTGAGTGAGATGGAGCCTTGGGCAGATTCGGCTCAAAGGAGTGGGGTGATCTGACTTACATCTTAGCAGGGTCACCCCAAGTGTTGTGTGGAGAATGGACTGTGGGGGGAGGGGCAGAAACAGGGGGCGCAATTAGGACGCTGCTATACAATCTGGGCAGGAGAGGACATTGACTTGGACCAGGACAGG